GCTTCGCTTTCCACAGCGGCAATTAAAGAACAACCCCAGCGAAATAATAATAATAATTAAAACCACACCACGACCAGCCCCGCGCCGTCTTCCCCCTCTCTTAATATTTTTTCCCTCATTTTAAACGGGGTTCGGAGCAGCGTTCGGGCCGGGGGCATCTGTCACATGGCGGCGGCGACCCGCACCCGGCCCCGGGTCGCTTCTCCGAGAGAAAACCCAGATGAAAACGCTGCCCGGGAGCCGGGTAGCGCTGAACCTTCTCATTGCCTCCGGATCAGAACGCGAGCAGCGGAGTTGGAAGTTGGGCTTCTGCAGTTTGTGCATGTGGCTTCTCGTGGAAGCGACAGGATCGGACTCCCGGGTTTAGGAGGGGTTTTCTTGAGCGTTTTCTGAAGGAGGAAGCTTGGTTCCTCTCAGGTTTTGCCACCTTTTCGCATAGAGCTCTTTAAAGTAGCTTGAAGTTTTCTTCAGAAGTACTTCAACTGATTGCAAAAAGTTTGAGGTGTAGTAAGAAACCACTTGCTAGTGGTGGAAATCATAGCTGTAATAGCATTAACTTTATTCCTTTGATTGGGAACCGTGGTGTTGTATAGTACTGTGCTCTTCATAGAAATAACTACTTTTTTATCTTTAAATTTGTTGTAAAGCAACTGTCCTAGTGGTTCTTCATTGCTGCCTGACACGTTAACTACTCTCAAGAGTGACAGCCAATATTCATTGGGTTTGGGGGTTCTTTTTGCGTGTGTGGCTTTTTTCTTTAAAGTTTCAAATAAAAACTACTGGCCTTTATCTCCTAATTCAAATTTTCAAGTTGTTAAACAGCTGTAATGCCCTTTATTTCCTCCTTTTTAATGACCTGTTGCACTTTGGTAAAATGTTCACTTCTTGTTTCATACCTTTTTACAAAAAAAAGAGTGTGTTTTTGGTTTTTTTCTTCTTCTTTTATTTCCTCCACAGGAAGGAGTGAAGACTGAAAACAATGACCACATTAATCTGAAGGTGGCAGGGCAAGATGGGTCTGTGGTGCAGTTTAAGATTAAGAGGCATACACCACTTAGTAAACTAATGAAAGCCTATTGTGAACGACAGGTATGGCTATTGTGTGATCCTCAGGAGAGGGCTGGGGGAGAGGTGATCTCCAGAGATCGTAGATGAAGACAGTAGAGGCTTAGATCTATGCAAATATGCAAAATGATAAAGGCTTAACAGAAACTAATTGTGTTGTGGGGAGTGTGTTGTTCTTGGGATCTGTTACAGAGTGGACTGACAGGGTTGTGACAGGAAATGGGTAAAATAAAGATCTGTTGTTATCTTTGTGAAATTTGTGTCATAGGTGGAGGCTGTTGTTGGGAGGTGACTGTTATTCTACTGCTCAGAAATACCCGTATGGAAAGGGTGGGTTGGGAACCTGTGGTATGAACTCAGGACAGAGGCTTGAGTGATAATTGGAGGTATTTTTATAACTCCTGAGTAACATCTTGGTGTGGTCACAGACTGCTGGTTTATTAGCTTTAGTATTGTGTTGAGATGGGAGAACATCACTGGGTATTGCAGTGCTTAAAGGTGTCAAATGTCCACCTTGAGAAGGAGCTTGTACAGTTAATGCTGAGCGTGGGTTGTTTTTTCTCTTGTGGCCTTGTCAAATTAATCCTCTGAGGAGCAAAAAATCCTTGTATTTTGTGAGTGTAATGGCAAATGTAGGCAGCTATTGCAAGTTTTACACCCACCTGTATAAGAGTGGTGCTATTTAACACTTTCGTCTGGAGCTTTTGGTTAGGAAAGTTCTGTCTCTGCTGTCCATGATTTTTTAATGACTGTCTGCCTTTAGAAAGTACCATCTGTACAAAAGTGTTTGGAATTGGGGATGATTTGGGGTTTCATTTTTTTTTTTTTTAAAACCACAACTATTCAGTGATACCATCAAATACAAAAAACCCAGTATAAATTACTGAGGTAACTATCTCACTACCAGGAAAAAACACTCTAATTCACACTCAGAGTGGTAAAACCTCTTTGATTTACCCTTTGCCACAACAGGAGAGTGATACGAATAAAGACAGGGCAAATCAGCTCTCACTGAATGTGTGAATATGTTCTTGTATGAGTGTTCTGGGGATAAATTAGTGAGTGTTTGAAGCTGTGAACTCATTTTCCTTACCTCTGTCATACAGACTCTTGTTAGATTATGCAGATCTCTGTGTACTGCTTTTCCAAACATGAAGTGCAGTTATAGCTGTCTTTTGGAGAGTTTGAGGCTTGGTCAGTTGTCTGTAAAGTCCTAGGCAAGATGATTTTGGAAGCACTGTTCATACTTCAGTTACTTGGAAACAAAAGTAAGGCTATAAAACTTTTCACCTGAATTCCCCAATTGTCAACTGGAGGGAAAAAAAACCAATAAATCTTTATAATGGGAGACATTTTTTATTGTTTTAGTTTGAAGCCAGTAGGTGTGCAAAGGATATTGTCTTCAAGTGGTGTTTCTTAGGTGCTTACTATGTTCAGAAGCATTTGTTCTGCCTTAGTCTAAAAGTCAGATTTAATTTGTGGTTGTAACTAGGCACATCCAGTCTTAAAATCCTTAAACTGTGGACTTTGGATTTAATTTTGGAGAGCTGGAAGCTGCATATAGTAGAGAATTGAGCAGCTTTAAAGAAGGAAAATCATGTATTGCATGTCATAGGCCTAAAATGGAAGTAAAAACTTGACTGTATGTTTAGAAGATCAAGACTATTCATGTGGGGAAAACTAATCCATGGAACAGCCAGTTTTTTGTGGTTATTAATCTCACCAAGGTACCTTTGTTGAATATGTTCTCAGCTCACATTTATCCAGCTCATAAAGTTGTCAGGAGCCTGCAAAAAAAACCCAACACTTTTGGAATGGGAAAAATATATTTTAAGCAACACAATGACAGAGAAAACAGCTCAAACCAAATGTTGCTGTGCAAAAATGTGTCGCTGCCATGACACTTTGCCACATGGTTTTTTTACACAAGATGATGTTCTGAGTGAACACTGCAGAGTCTGAGTCATGTTGGAGAAGGATTTTGCTCTGAATTCTAAATTCTGAGTGAAAATTTTACTCATTCTTTATCCAAATCTTTTCTTTTCCTGACATATCTCAAGAATTAATAAACTGCATCTTGTGTGATACAGCTGCTCTTGCAGGGCTAAATGAACTCTGCTCTTCAAATACAGAGGAGCCAGAACAGCACCGTGTTGGATTTACCTCAAACCAACTCGAGTTGTAGAGAGGGAAGCAGACAACAAAGTTCTTGGTTCTGGTTGTATCCTCACGCTTCATTAATCTTCCTTTGCAGAATGTGGTGTACAGTAGAATACCTTGGAAAACTTGTGAATTTGAAGCTTAAGTTATTACTAGAAGGGGTTGTTGCTCTTTAGTTCCTTTTGAATTGGCACAGGCAAGAAAGAGTAGTCCTCTGGGGATGGAAGAGGTCAGCAAAATGACTGTGTGTGGTAGAGATGCTCAAAATCAGTTCAAATCCTATTCAGTAGTTTCTGGAAGTAGAAGATTCCGTTATCTTTTTGTAAAGTTTCAGCTGTGCAGGGAAGAACTTTGATCCATTGACTTCTTATAAATAGGAATTTGCAGTCAGGAAGTTGTAATTGCTTGCCCTTTGCTGCTGCAGACTTGGAGATGGTGGGTTGCATTTCTGGAACACATACTGTTGCTTTTGGGGAGGATCAAAAAGGAATATTGACTATTACTGTTTGAGATCTGTTACCCAAAGTGTTGCATCTAATTTTAAGTGAATTATTATTAAAAGGCAGTATAAAAATCCTGGCCTTTGGGGTGAGACTAGTGCACTAGAAACTGCTTTATTTTACCTTCCAGTCAGTGGGGGCACTGTTGCTTCTCTTAGTTGTTGGCCACAATACAGTTACTAATACAAAACAGATTGCAAGGATTTGTAGTGAAATGCCTTAAAGTCAGTGCATGAGGGGAGTATGAAAACTATATCATGGCTTTTAATGATCATGCTGACAAGTTCAAGAGCAAGCTAGTGAGTGCTTTTACACCAGACTTACTTCCCTTTGTTCCTTCTCTTTGTGCAGGGGTTGTCAATGAGGCAAATCAGATTCCGGTTCGATGGGCAGCCTATTAATGAAACAGACACACCTGCACAGGTAAACAGCAGAAGAAAGGCCCAAGAACTGCATTTAATACTTGCTGCAGGGGTTGATGCTTCTGTTGCATGTAAAATACTCGTGTGGTTGTATATATTAATGATAGAACTTGATCTTTTTTACCACTATTGTGGTATAACTAGTTTAGGGTTATTGGAGCTGGAATCTCACACTTCTGTAGTGTTTTAAATAATGAGTCTATATCACCAGGAGTAAAATAAGAAATGGAAGCGCAGTGCACAGATGGTGAGTCTTGTAAAACTGTCACCTTATTGAGTCACAGCTCTGAGCTAAGAGTTGGTAAGTCAAGAATTGAGGTTTTCCTGAAGCAGTGACTTTCTTTTTTGTATGAGAGGTTGCCAGGGTGTTATCAGGATCCTGTTTGCGAACTGGCTTTTGTAATGAAAAAGTCATTTTCTATTGTTTGTAATTGGAAGCTCTGTTTCAGCAGCAGAAACTTCACGAATACTGTGAAGTTTGGGTTGTTTTGGGGATGTAACTGGGTAAAATCAAGGCCATTCCAAGAACAGAATGGTTTGCTGTGGCTCTCGAGTATTTCTCTGTGCTGCTCCGTGTAGCTGTGTTTAATCAGCGTTTCCAAGTGATACAGGTTGATGTGCTTTGCAGAACTACTTGTTCTGAAATAAGGGACTCTTGATGTTGGAGGGTTTATAGTAGATCTGTATTTTCTAAGCAGTTGCTCCAAAGAATGTGCCTCCTAAGGGCACAATCTGCAACTTCTTAACTTGGAATGCTGATAATCGAGGTAACAGGGTGCTTTTCTCTCCATCCATGTCATGCTGAAGCTCAGGATCAGTCTATTTATAGCTCTGGTAAATGCCATAGACCTGTTTGGTTTCCTGGAGTAGAAATTGAGACTGTTTAGGAATATAACATTAGTTAGAGCAGCTCCTTCAGTCTTCCTATAGATTTTCATCTCTAGGTAACATCAACATCCGAGAAATATCAACTGTAAAAATTGGGGTGAAAAAGAGACTTACATTTATGAAGTATTGCTGTTGCTCACTGGCAGTTTGTTACATGGGTGAGGGTGTCAAGTGCTTTATTTCATGCTTGCTGATGCTTGGTTTTACTGCCTGCCTGGGCTGGGGGCCTTAATTACAGTCTGTTTTCTTCAGTGCTGTAGCTGAAGCCATTTGAACAACAGCAGCAAGGTGGAATTGAGTCAGTGTTCTAAGGTAAACTGAGGAAGTAAATAGGAGAAGGAAGATGCCATGGAAAAGTAGGCAGCTGAATTAAAACGTTACGAATGCTGATCTTTTCCACATGAGTCCTATAATGCACCCTGAAGTTATGTACTAGAATCCATTCTAGGACAAGAGTTATCAACTGGCTTTTGGGGTTTTTCTTATGCAATTTCTTTGCTCTTGAGCTCTGGTGATGTAGGTTAAATGTACAAAGTGATGGTGATGGAAGGGAGCGGGGCTGGGCTGGTTTAAGTTGCATGAAAACAACATGTAAAACACCCAAGCCTATAGTAGATACCTGAGAAGAGTTGAAAGCCTTTTCTCTCTCTTTTTTTTTTTTTTTTTCCTGCTACAGTTGGAAATGGAGGATGAAGATACAATTGATGTGTTCCAGCAGCAAACAGGAGGAGTTTACTAAACAAACCAACACACAAACAAAGAACCTGCTACTTTCCTCTGCAGAACTGTGCTCCCACAGGCGACACATTCACAATTAGACAAACGAGACTTGGTTCAGCCACATCCTGACTACTGCAGTAGAGTTTTCTCTCTTCTCTCTCTTGATTATTTTTTTTTCCTATTCCTTCTATTGTACATAAAGTAACTGGTGTATGTGCACAGACATAATGCATATTTTTTTTAACTAAATGGCCAATGGTATGTTTTGATCAACAATTAATGGAGATGGGGTGGGAAAAACAAACTGGTTCTGTGAAAAATGCCCCTTTCTCCGTTAGTGGCATGCTCCTTCTCCTTTTATCTTTATATTCCAGTAAGTTATTTTGCTCTCACTGTTTAAAAACAAAAAAAAAAAAAAACCAACCTTGCATACTTTGTTTGATTGGATAATTTCAATGTTTTTTCTTTTATCATTGTAAAACCAAGGACAATTTTATAACTTTTTTGTACGTAGCTGTTACATGTAGAGCAATCTCTGTCTAAGTAGGGGTAAGTTACTCTAAAAAACAAAAAAGAAGAAAAAAAAATCCTAGATAGTTTTCCCTTCAAGTAAAGCGTCTTGTTGTTTAAATAAACTTCTTGTTTAAAATAACCAGGTTTCTTTAGTTTTCTCTGGAGTAGCAGTACTCAGCACTTGTGTTTCTTTCTCTGCAGTGCTTTACGCTTCCCAGTGTTCAGCTTTCTGTGGGGTAAGTAAGTATAATTCCCCTTTTTCAGGTAGAAGACTGTTGGATGATGAAAGGCTTCCTTAAGTCCTCCCAGTCAGTAGCTGAATTGGAAATAGAAGTTGGTTTTCTCTTTTGATTTCTTATTTTGTATGTTCTGCTGAGCCAAAAATGTTTCAGTAGGGAAACTGCAGAATGTTGGACTTCGGGTTGAGCTCTTTTTGTCAAGCTTTAATAGAAGCATCAGTGTTGTTACAGTAGCTTATTTAAAACCATTTTAGTGCTTTATTGTTGTAAAAATTAAGCTAAAAAGAGCAAATAATTTCATTAACCATTCAGTTTCCCATGGTATCAAATGGGAGATGCTTGGAAATGTAAAGCACAAATAAAACCCTGGGTTTTGGGTGGATTTAGCAATGGTGGTGTGGATTCCAAGCTCTGCTTTACCATGGTGGCAAAGCAGAAAGAGAACTTCCTTCCTGCTTGGAAGAGGCTGCAGGTACCAAAGGGAGCTGGTGATAGTGATGTTTTTCATGAGTCTTTTCCACAAGGCTGTTGATCTGGAGCTTTCTCCTGGGGAAGTTTATAGAGTTTGCAGTGAAATCCATGGACATTCATGAAAGATTGACCTGTCTACTCAGCGGCCCCAAAGCATTCTCTGATGTCCTGGGAATGTTCCAGCATCTTGTAGTGTTTGCAGTGAGCGGATGCTCTTTCTGGAGCTCACTTGTGGGTGGTGGTTTTTGTGCTCGTCAGTTCAAGAAGTGATTATGCATGAGACCGGTGCCTGCTGGATCTGGAAACCCTCTGACTTTGTGGCAGAATGTGAGGTCTGTGCAGTTAGCTGATGGACAATGTTCTGTTTGACTTCTATCATGATTTTAACACATTGGAGATTACATTACTTATATCTTTTAGGAGAAAAAATAGCATTGTTTTTGCAGTTGCTTTTGACTAGGGAGCTGAAGAATGTCATTTACCATTGCTTTAATTGTAGGGAATCTGCTGCTAAGCAGCTTATTTCTTTCTCTGGTATGTACCTTACAGACTTCTGTGGTATATTGCAATGTTGGAATTCCCTCTTGTGAACAAATGTTTTCATATCCAAGCTCACACAGACCTGGAAAAAACTTCTTGGGAATCAAAAAAAAAAAAGGGTGTTTGTGTGGAATATATTTCAACACCTTTCCTAGGTGAGACATTGCTTGTTGGCTTTAGAATCTCTGGCACTGATAACAGTGTCTAAAATTCTTTCAACTTGATGTCATGCCAAGACTTCTCCCAGGAGAAAGCTCTCTTTATCTTGTTTGGCCAAAAAAGATGTTTGGACTTGCTCTGGTTTCTGAAGAAAGGGTGAGGTCTCCTTAAATACAGGGATTTTTCCAGCCCAGCTTCAGCCTGTGAAGCTCCAAACTCCCTTGCCAACTATTTCTTCTTTCCTGAGGCCATAAAAGTCAAGTGTCAGGTACTGAACATGCTTTCAAAAACAGTATCTTAATTCCCCGAATTAAGAGTGGCACTTCATCTGTCATGAGCTTATGTGCAGGATTTGCCTAAATGTCTTCATTTCTCACATGTCTTTGCTGGTCACCTGGGTTTGCTCCTCAAGTTTCTGCAGTAACTGCTCTAACAGTGCTGAATGGTATTGGTGTAAGTTGGTGACTGCAATCAGAAACTGATAAATTGGGCTTTTCCTCAGTTAGGAATCAAGAAGCTGTCTCAAGTGGCTTAATTCCTCAAGAGCCTCAAACATTAATCTCCACTAGTCCAGCAAATTGTTGAGTTGCGCATTCTGATGCATGTCTGTGGACACAGCAATGCAAAAATGCTGTGTAAAACCTGCTTTTTGAAGCCTATTCTTTAGAACTCATCTTGCCAATACTCTTCTTAAGACAGAACTTGGGGCTTGTCAGTACCACTGTTGCTGGAGAATTTAACCTGTTGATTCCTGTTTGCTGGGACCTCGGTGGGTTTCCTGTGAAGCCTCTTCACTGGGAATGCTGCTGTGAAGTACAGGGGTATGAACAGTTCACGACATAGTATTTGGAGTTCACTTGGCTGTTTGGCCTGGCTTGGTTTGTAGCAGTTCTTACACTGGTGGCCTAATAGGCTACTAGAAGTCCACATGGTGAATGATAATGGGAAACTGGGCACAGAGGTCTTGTCACACTGGTTGGGAGGTGAGTTTTTCATGTTTATTACAAGCTGGGATCTCTCAAGAGCCTGGGTAAATGATATTATTACCCACAGCTTTCAAGTAACACATTCTAAAGTGATTGCCATGCAATTTAGTTAATGTTCCTCTCCTGGTTTCTAAATGAAAAAGAATGGAGTAAGTCATAATCAGCTGCAATTCTCTAGTGAGTTCTTGTGGATGATATGTCATTGCCTCTAGAGTATGCTCGGTCTTCAGTCCCTCAGACAGCTTCAGTTGTGGAATGGACACAGGAAAAGGAAGGTGTTTTTATTTCTGTGGGTGGTCATGGCAGACTGGAAGGACAGCTGGCTGTGGTGGGGCTCTTGGTTAACACCTGAAACCCAGCACCTCCGCACAGTGAGGGTGACACCCGTTTAACAGGGCTCCTCTTCAGTATGAAGTGGCCTGAGATGCTGGTTTCAAAGGTGTTCTGGGAGGTGTTGCAAGGTCGTTCTGAAACAGAATATACTAAACTGCTAACAGGGTAAGGAAATACCCCAAGTGGTGATGTGAGAGAGATTCTTGTGCTGGCTATAGAGGTGTTCTTGACAACAGAAAAGCACCTGTAGCAGCAGTATGATAGTTGCTGCTTCAAGATCATGACAGTATCAAAACAGATAAGAATGCTCCTGCAAAGGTTATGGTCAAAACAAGATTATTTTCTTGCAAGAATATTCCTTTCTAGTACCTCGACTTCATTACTTCTGAGTCAATGTAATGTAAGTGCTGTCGTTTCATCTGTCAGATACTGGTTCTATTGTGATCGTCACTGCAACATTAATGAACAGGCATGTGAGCTGCCTAAGGAAAGAATGCTCTCTGTGCTCCAGGCAGCTGGAAAGAAGGGAATTGCTAAGGAACAGCAATTTCTTTTCAAAGCTAAAAATGAAAAACTAGATGCTCCTTCATCATCATCTACTAAATTGAAAGGGAACAATAAACTGAAGGGTTTTATTAGAGGTTTAGGTCATGGCCTGAGAAAAGGCCACTTGTATCGGCTGGTGAGGGATTGTTGGGGGCTACTAAAAGACGCTCTAAAAGCATTTAAATAACTTAAATTACCAGTGTAATTAATACATTTCATTCTCTGGATTATTGAGGTTCATTCTGGCTGTTCAGTGGTTGCCAAACCAAATATGTTCTGAGAAGGGATAATTTAATCCTGTAATTTATCTTGCCTTTTTTGTACTTGGTGTCAGAATGGATCGGTAGCACAGCAGTTCTCCCTGCTGGTTAGGATGTAGAAGTGTAAGGATAATCAGGAGATGGAAGGCTGGATTTTGATCTGGCTTTGGTCTTCGGCTGCCCTTCAAAGTGCTTAATTACAGAGGTTTCCTGGTTTCTTCATTAGTAGCATGGGACTAACGGTCTTACTCTGACATGGAGATGCTGGGAGGCCCAGCGGGTGTTTGTGAAATGCTTCTGAGTCCCTTTGAGGGGAAGAGTTTTTCTCTTTTTCCACTATTCCTGAAGGATTTCAGACGACGCAGGAGGGATGAGGTAGAGCTATGAAGTAAGTGGCTTGCTGGCAACAGAGATCCTGGAGGTAGAGGGTGTGGGTGTAGGAAGAACAAGCTGGGGAGGAGCTGTGGTGGGAATGGGCAGAGCAGGAGGTTTCACAATTAATCCTGATAGGAGCATGACTTTGGAGTACCAAGGAAAGACTTATGGTTGTAGAAGCCCAAATAAATAATAAATTGTTACTTCTTAGGAAAGGAATATTCTCCAGGGAGGACGTGGGTGCACAGGACACCCTTTGTGATGCATTTTGTGTCAGTTTTGGTGGCTTACATCTACCCCCTTTCAGCATCCCATCCATAGGTCTCATTAAAGCACATCTGATGCCCTGCAAGGACTTTCGAAGGATTACTTGATGAAGAAGACTTCAGTTTAAGCAACCTGGAATGAAAGGAGCTCTTTGAGGACTCTGTCAGGACACTGCCTTCCCCTTCCAGTGATGCTTGTCTTTTTCCACTGAGGAGCAGTGCTTTGGAGCCAGGCTCGGTAATGCTGGATGCCTGCACAGGAACTGGCCACTCTGCTTTTTATGTTCAGAACTAAATCTGCAGCTTTGAGAGGAGTCTGGACATTGATTGAAGCCTCCTTCCCAAACACTAACTTACTGTTACGAACTTTACCTGAAGATGTACAGGGGCACCAAAGAAGCTTTCACAGCTCCTGCAAACAGCATCTGCTCAGTAGAACAGACAGTTGGATCTGTAGGATGCCACTGCCCTTCCACCATGCATCACTTCAGATGCAGAGGTCTTCTACAGCTGTGACAAGGATTATTTATTAGCTGAAGCTTACTTCTTACCTTCAGCTATGAATGGATTGAGGGGATAGGGGAAGACAAGACTGAGTCAAACCCTATTTTTGGTAAAATGAAATAAAGAACAAATGTTCTTTGTGGCTGTGCCATAAGTAGCAGAGACTGGCATGAAGAAGCAGCCCTTGGTCATGGGAGGATGACCAAGCTAAGGATTTTCTCAACCCATTGGTATCTCTCCTTGCCTAACCTTTGCATTTCCTGGAGTCTTTGCACTTCTGAATGCTTTTTGCATTTGTTGCCGGTTGAATTTCAAGAGCAGGTGGAACTGTGGTGTCTGAGTTTGTCAAACAGCTGCTGAGAATTGTTCTGGTTGAATGTCATAATCTGAGGAGGATCCTAAACCCAGTTTCTGTAGCCATCTTCATAAACCTCTTCTTATGGGTAACTAATCAGCAAAG